AACTAGCGGCGAAAATACCCCCCCTCCCGCGCGCGTCAACAGTGCCCAGGCTGGCCAATCCCATCGCGATGGGCCCCGCAAGTCTTCCCGACGCATCCCTTAATTCCTCTACAATCTTGGGCGATGGCGAAATCCGGCAAGCTCTGCCAACCGTGGCCCCGCTATCGCCGCCAGTCCACAGCGACCAACCGCAATCGATCGTGCACGTCTTGCCTATGGCCATCGAAGCGGCGGCCAGATCCCGCGCCGCCACCTCGGCGGGGCCCACGCTAGAGAACTCAATGGTGGATTTACGCACCAGGCGTGAAGGATCTGAGGGGCCTGAGACGATCTAAGTCCACTGCTAAGTGAAGCATGGCAAATGTTGTCGCGATGGAATAACAGGCGGCACTTCCATCCTTGGCAAGCCAAGATCCAATCGCGCCGCCGTTCATCATCGCCAAAGCGCGTGCGTTGGTAGGCACAGGTGCGCAGCCAGGAACTGGGAGCAGAGGAACCAAACCGTTTACGTACAGCGGTCCAGGAGGAGCTCCATATCAAGCAGCTCGTGAAATTTGTACACGTGCCAAAACGCGCTTTCCTTGGACCGCGGGGTCTGCCTCAGGACGACAATCGGGAAATGTTTGAAACGTCCAAGTGCGAAAAGAGCCTTGGTCCAAAAGGCCTCCCATTCCGCAGGCAAGCGGTGCCGTGCTCGCCCCCGCAGTCTGTAAGTGGACACAGAGAGGCCGATTGGCCTGAAGCCTCCAGGGGCTGCCGACAACACCGCCAGCAAAAACACTCGCAGTTGAGTCGGGGCCAGCCGTCTGTCCCGAAGCTGCTACTTCTTCCCCAGCATGAGCAATGCTCCATCACTAAACTGAAGTCCATCGACCGAGGCACGGCGAAACCAACAGCGGCTGATCTCCCTCAGCTTGGGCGGGTCCAGGAAGGGAAAAGCATCGAACACCTCCTCCGTTGCGAATCTGTCAAGCGTCTGGGCCTCCGGGTACGTAGCTCCTCGGAAATCTGCGAGTCTCGGACGTCAGAATGCTAAACGGATCCCGGAAACCACCCCATCCGAGCTGGGAGCAATTGTAGGCCCCCAGAATGATGGGTCCTGAATGAATCAATGATCTTTCGTGTCTCCCTTTCCAAACCAATTCAAAATCAACTGCCTCCAGGAAGCCCTGGACCCCGCCCGGAGAAACCAGAAAGAACGTGGTCTCTCCGACCTCTGTCGGCAGCATTCGAGGTCCGAGCGTCCGCCGCAGCATTACCTTGGGACCATAACGACTGCTGGGCGGTCTGGATGCCAAACTCTTCCATCCTCAAGGGATACCAAACTCCTCCATTCTCAAGGTGAGACGCAATCCACTGTATGTCAAGTGTGCTCCTGCGCATGGCCACGCCGTGTCGGATCTGAAGGGGGAGGAAAGGAGGAAGGAGAACAAGGAGGAAGAGAAAAAGGGACGGGGAGGGAGGGCGGGAGGGAGGGAGGTCAGGAGGCAGGGAAGGAGAAAGGGGAGAGGGAGGGAAGGAGGAGACGAAACACGAGGGCGAGGGAGGGAGGAGGCAGGAGGAGAGGAGGAGTTGGGAAAGAGTGAGGGAAGGCTGGAGGAGGAGCATGGACGAGAGAGGAGCACAGATCTGCGGAGGCGGCCCACGGAAACCCATCACGCCGCGCGGCGCAACGCGGCAGCCAAGGGCCGTCGGGCTGGCATGCCGCCAATCCGAAGACCCCCGCTGCCGCAAGAAAGAACGCAACGTGCTGCAGAATTCGAATAGGGAATCGACTACGGTAGATTCGTGCGGCGTCGGCGCGCAAAAAAGTTGTTGACACCGCGCCGATGGTTCAACCTAGAACCGATCGCAGCCCCGATCGTTCCAAGTTGAATCCCGTCGGGTCCAACGGGTTTACTGTGTCCATCGGTGATTCCGCGTCGCAGGACTCAACCTTGAACGCCTTCGACGGCGTCGCAGGCGCGCCAACGCACCGCGAACCTGCCGTACAGAATTGACTCACCCCAGATATGAGTTGTCGTCGAGTCTGCAACGCATGCGTCGAATGCTCTACAGATCCACGGAACACCCTGCGTGCATCTCGTTGCTTCGACGAACACGAGCCGAGTCTTGGGTGAACCGATCCTGAGTCGATCTCCAACTCGAGGGACTGGCGGCGCGCCGAGGGGGTGAAGAAATCTGGACGTCCGGGTTCGTGGTTCGATGTTTTGGGGAAGCCACAAATGACGTACGCGCCCAGCTATGTGCGTACATGAACGCGGCCCCTCGATCCGCGAGACTGGCCGCGTTATACAAACATGTGCGCAATACGTACTCTCGAAACAAGCGTGGAATCATGTACGTGTACGTCCTTATTTCGCTCCTTATTTTTCGGCGGTGGACAAAACTCTCTTTAGTAAACCTCCATTTCGAGAAAACGGCCCAAGACAGAAACAACCGACGGACCTGGGCCAGCAACAATGACAGCCGCGACGCCGTCTCGCGAACCAGCAACGGCCAATTCACGTGTCGATGTGTCGGGGTACAGTCGGGGCGTTGACCTAAGGAACCCTAAATAAGGAACGGGGCCCCTGTCTTCGTTAACTCTAACATCGACTTCCGATCGAACACCGAAGGTCAACCTGAGGCAAACGGTAAAACAACTAAGGAACACGGAGCCCCTCCCAAACGAAAAGGGCTCCAGTCTTCAGCGCCCCGACGTCGGGGATCCTCTGACCAGGGTCAATCCAGACCCGGGTCAGCAGGAAACCAAAAACTGCAATGCAGGAAAAAAAACTGCAACGCAGGTCCTCGCAAACCCGGGTAAGCCAATACGCGCGGCCGCCTC